CTTCTTTTGTTAGTGAAACCAGCTATTGAGGAGAAACCAAGGAATCACAGTCGGTAAAAAATTGAGTTTCTGCTGATCAAAAAGAGGATGAATTTCTACCTAACAATCAGGGCACAGGCAACAAACAGCCTCTGCAGTACTTGCTGCTTCCAGTTGTTAACAAAACTGTTTTCAGAAATTTCTGTTTAAATTGCTTACACATGAGAAAATTTGGGGAAAAAGCAATGGTACAGCACTGGAGAACAACCCACTAGACCTGAAAGTGAGGTTGGTTTCAGTTCATTCCTGATGAAGATCCCAAGAGTAGCACACTGAATAGTAAAATTGTTGAGTACTTAATTCTAGGCCCGCAACCTGGCCTTATATAAGAGAATGTGCCAAATTTATGCAGAATTAGCAACAGGAAATTGCCAGCACCAGAAGTGTGAACAAAAGACAGACATGGGCCACTGGAACAGTACACCAGAAGAGTGTATCAGAGTAATTTCCAATTTGTTATTAGACTGATTGCTTGCCTGTGGGCCTTCTAGTCTAAATATTTTATCATATTTAATTTTTATTTAATAATTTATTTTTATTTAATAATTTAAAATATTTTAAAAGTTATTAAAATATTTAAAATATTTTCCCTGTGGAGAAGGGAATAGTCTCTCAGCCTCAGTAGCTGCAGCTAGAAATAGGGAGTTTCAATTAACACAACCTGTCAGCTGATAAAGAGGAGCTTACCTGTTGTTACTACCTTACTGTTTGACTAGGAAACAGTTGTACTGGCTTGGACTAATGTAACAATACTTAGTACATCTTGTGTGGGTGTGTGCTCTTGTGGACAAGCACATTCAGTGACAGGCTTGTCATGAATTTAATCTGAGCCTGTCTTCAGAATTCACTTCTGTGAATCATATCTGCTGCAGTGATTGATGGCTTACTGTCTCTGATATGTGAGCAACACGTGAACTGTTGCCAATGAAGACTACAAGGAGGATGCAGGTGAAAGAGTGCTCCAAGCTCCTGTCATTGTGCTGAAAATACTTTGTATTTGTTGAGCTCAAAGAGCTTTGTTTGCAGGGTTGGTATGATTTTATTTGGTGAAAACAGGCAATAGCTTCGCTGTTAAGGAAATCCTTAATTTTTCTGAGCTCTTGAATAACATATGCAAGTAGCCAGAGTGATATCTGTGCGTGCACGTGCACGTATGTGTGGTTTTCTGGAGTAACAGCTTCAATTAGTCTATAACTTCAAACTTTGTTCTTTTCTTCTGTTTATTCTTGATCATTCAGCATATCGGTTTCATATCAAGCAATATTTAAGTTAATTTCTTTAGACACAATTCTTTAGTTAGCCATTCCAACAACTTCATGCAGTACACTGAAGAATTATAGATAATTTTTTTTTCCAGACTTAGATTAGAAGTTCCTAATAAGGACTTCCCTGTTTCCAGTATGGAAACATATTTCTGCTACGTATTTCAACATAAATGAAATTACAAAAAGTAAAATACAGCATGTCTGGGGTTTCATGTTTGGATACTTCTGAAATGTTTTATTTTAATCAATCTTATAAATATATAAATTATAGACATTGTTCTATTATAATAGTATATAAAATTGTTGAAACTAACTTATTAGGAAAGCAGTAACAGAATTCTCTGATAGGGTTATAGATACTAGTAAGCTGCTCATCTTGAATATGACAAAAGGATTTTTAGAGTGCTTTAACTCTAACCAGCCCACAGGGAGGGTTTGTGCACTGTTCTCAAATGTTTCAATGAAAGCCTTGCTTCTTTAATTTTAGAAATGGAAGGGATTTCAAACAAAATTACATCAGGTAAACCTAGAACCAAAAGGCACCTCTTGGGAGTAGGCTTCATGATCAAAAACTCTATTGTTCCTAAATTTGAAAATCTGCTGACAGGCCATTCTGATCGCATTATCTCCCTACGCCTTCCACTACACAACAAGCAACACATTGTCCTCTTTAGTATATATACCCCAACTCTCCAAGCTGACCCTACCAAAAAAGATAAATTTTACACTGACCTGTGCTGCCTTATCCAAAAGGTTCCTGCAGGTGATAAGATCATTATCCTTGGTGATTTCAGTGCCAGAGTAGGTAAGAACTTTGATGCCTGGAAAGGAGTATTAGGCAAGCATGGTGTTGGAAACTGCAACAATAATGGTCGCCTTCTGCTAGAATTCTGTGCAGAGCAACAACTCACCATCACCAACACTATCTTTCAACAGAAAAATAGTCTGAAGACAACCTGGATGCATCCTAGATCTAAGCATTGGCACCTCATCAATTATGTCTTGGTGCGGCGAAGGGATGTCCGCGATGTTCATCACACCTGCGTGATGCCCAGTGCAGAATGCCAAACAGATCATCGGCTTCTGCGCTGTAAACTTAACTTCAACCTTAAGTTCAAACCAAAAAGGGGCAGTGTCCCAAGGAGGAGACTCCAAGTTAACAATCTCCAATCAGCCACGATGAGAGACAGCTTCCAGGCAAACCTTCAAACTAGGCTCGAAAACCATTCCATAGATTCTACGGATACCTCTCCTGAAACAATTTGGCACCATATTAAAAACAGCATCCAGCAGTCCTCTGAAGAATCCTTAGGGTTCTCCTTCAAGAAAAACAGGGACTGGTTTAAGGAAAACAATCAAGAGATCCAGGAATTGTTGAGGAAGAAGAGAACTGCTCACCAAGCACACCTTGCACTGCAATCCTGTCACGTAAGAAAAACAGCCTTTCGTCTTGCATGCAGCAAGCTCCAACAGAAACTCCGTGACATCCAGAACAAGTGGTGGATCAGTCTAGCTGAAAAAACTCAATTATGCGCAGATACAGGTGATCACAGAGGATTCCATGAGGCACTGAAAACAGCATATGGGCCTACATACCAGGTCCAAAGCCCCCTACTCAGCGCTGATGGTCAAATGCTTCTGACAGATAAAACCTCCATTCTGAATCGATGGTCTGAACACTTTCAGACTCTCTTCAGTACTAGTCGTGTAGTTCAAGACTCAATTCAGTCCATCCCACAACAACCAGTGAAGAATGAATTGGTTAGTGCCCCCACTTTGGGAGAAACCCTCAAGGCCATACAGCAGGTGAAAATTGGCAAGGCAGCTGGGGTTGATGGAATTCCACCTGAAATCTGGAAACATGGGGGCCGAGCACTCCATGCTAAATTTCATGAGTTTGTGGTGTGCTGTTGGGAACTAGGCGAACTACCATCAGACCTTCGTGATGCAGTCATCATCACTTTGTATAAGAAAAAAGGAGTTAAATCAGACTGTTCAAATTACTGAGGTATTACTCTGCTCTCCATTGCTGGCAAAATCCTGGCAAGAATACTTTTGAACAGACTAATACCCACTATAGCAGAAGGAATTCTTCCTGAAAGCCAGTGTAGTTTCAGAGCCAACAGGAGTACCACAGACATGGTATTTGTTCTCAGAGAACTGAAAGAGAAGTGTAGGGAACAGAACAAAGTTTTCTATGTAACCTTTGTTGACCTCACCAAGGCTTTCGATACTGTGAACAGAAAAGGTCTGTGGCAGATTTTGGAACGTTTAGGTTGTCCCCCCAAGTTCCTTAAAATGATCATCTCACTTCATGAGGATCAGCACAGCCAAGTCAGATATGGCGATGCACTTTCTGAGCCCTTTCTAATAACCAATGGTGTGAAACAAGGCTGCGTTCTTGCATCAACCCTATTAACAACCTTTTTCAGCATGATGTTCCGAAGGGCCACTGCAGACCTCGATGATCAGGACGGTATCTACATTCGATATCGTACTGATGGAAACCTATTCAAACTAAGGCGACTGAAGGTCCACACCAAGACCTTAAACCATCTTACCCGGGAGCTGCTTTATGCTGATGACGCCACCCTTGTTGCCCACACAGAAGCAGCTCTGCAGCGTTTAACATCCTGCTTTGCAGACGCTGCTGAACTCTTTGGGCTGGAAGTCAGCTTAAAGAAGACAGAAGTTCTCTATCAACTTGCACCTCAGGAAGTCTTCCATCATCCCCATATCACCATTGGCCAATCAGAGCTCAAATCAGTCCAGCAGTTTAATTACCTAGGTAGCCTCATCTCCTCAGATGGTAAGATTGACAGAGAGATAGACAACAGGTTAGCAAAGGGATATAGAGCTTTCGGAAAACTCCATAAAAGAGTTTAACATAATAAACACTTGATGAAAAGTACCAAGATCAGTGTTTGCAGAACCATTGTGCTGTCTGCTCTTTTATATGGGTCTGAATCATGGGTCATCTACCGCCACCACCTGCGTCTCTTAGGATGCTTCCATCAACTCTGTCTCCGTACAATCCTAAACATCCACTGGTCAGATTATGTGACCAATACATCTGTTCTAGAAAAAGCAGCAATCACAAGTATTGAGGCCATGTTGCTGAGAACACAGCTGCGCTGGGCAGGGCACGTCTCCAGGATGAAGGACCACCGCCTCCCTAAGATCTTGCTCTATGGTGAACTTGCCACTGGCTGCTGCAAGAGAGGAGCCCCAAAGAGGAGATACAAGGACTCCCTGAAACAATATCTCAGCCTCAGCCATATTGATCTTCATCACTGGTCTACTCTGGCCTCCAATCAGGAGGTCTGGAGACACACTATCTTAAACGCTGCTGCTTCCTTTGAGAATGCACACAGGATCACTCTTGAGGAGAAAAGACAACGCAGAAAGAATCGTGCCTTGCAGAATATATCACCTAAGGAGTCTTTCTGCTGTGCCTTCTGCAATTGGACATGTCTATCTCGTACAGCCACCAACGTGCCTGTAACAAATGTGGATAGAGCCTTTTCCAAATCTTCATTCGCGAAACCTAGCCATGAAAAAAAACATCAGGTTTAGTACAGTGTTGTAAGAAGAAGTTCTCATTGTGCCTTCTGGGATACAGTGTGTACTTGTGCAGTGTATTTACATAATCTTTCACAAATTGCTGATTGCTTTTGTTGTTCTTTTGCCATGTAGCCGTCCTCAGAAGGTGTGTTTGTGTCCATTCCTGCCCGTACATCCGCTAAAGGTCTCCACCTGCTTGTATATAATCCAGCATCCAGCAGAGGTGAGTAAGGCTGTGCTAACTGTTGAGAGTTCATCTAGAATCTTAATGCAGCAAATGGTAGGCAAGAGGAAACAGCTATGCTGTTACCATCGTTGTCATGCTTCGACCCCAGCCATGAGCTAAGTTTACTTTCACCTGGGCCAGATAGGATGGGGAGGAGAATCAGTGAAAAAAGGGTAAAAACTTGTGGGTTTAGATAAGAACAGTTTAATAATTGAAACAAAGGAAAATATAATAGTACTAATAATTCTAATGATAATAATAACAATAATAATTGCAATAAAAAGAAGAGAGAGAGAGAGAGATAAAACCCAAGAAAGACAAGTGATGCACAATACAATGCTCACCACGCACTGATCAGTGCCCATCCCATCCCTTAGCAGTAATTGGTGGCTCCTGGCCACCAAGTTTATATACTGGGCATGACATTCTGTGGTATGGAATATCCTTTTGGCCAGTTTAAGTCATCTGACCTGGACGTGCTCTCTCAAGATTTCTTGTGCACCTCCTCACTGACAGGGCGTGAGACACTGAGAAGTCTTTGTCTTAGGGTAAACACTACTTAGCACACTGGTATTTTCGTTGTTGCTATCAACATTATTCTCATTCTGAATCCAAAACAGCACTGTACAAGCTACTGGAAAAACATGGATTCTATCCCAACCAAAACCAGGACTGTCATATCATAATTTTTCCTTTTAAATTTGATGATTGAATGCCAGTTCAGCTGAGTTACTGTATTTTTTGTTCAGTTCTTCTGAATTATTTTATCTTCTGAAATCGCATCTTATTTCTGCAATTCCATGCATGCAAGACATCTCATCTTATCTGAATAGTCCTTCTCGAATCTGAAATCTGCTTGCCTTGGTACAAATTGTAAAAATTAATAACATTAATTAACATAAAATAAAATAATTGTTAAATTACATTAAATAACATAAAGGCACATGGTGTGATTCTTGGGGTGTCCTGCGCAGGGCCAGCAGTTGGATTCAATGGTCCTGATGGGTCCCTTCTAACTCAGTATATTCTATGATTCTGTGAACACAGTGTCTCACAGAGGTGTTTAGAGTTGATATAGGGATGAATGTGTTTGATTATGGCAGTGGTCTTTTATTGATGTTAGTGTTCTGTTAAAAATATGAATTAAGCAATTCATTGTAGTGATGACCTTAGCTATTTTAGCCAATGGAAAACTGTTTAGCCTCAGAACAGTATGTTTTGGTTTACCAATAGGAGAATATATATTAATGTTTTTCTTGTCTGTGTATCATAAGGGTTTTAGAAATTGAACTGCAGCTACACATATCTGGGTAGATGGTGAGTCTACAGATAAGACTGTGAAGTTCAGAAAGCTGTTCTCTTGTGGTCCAGCTTGACATTTTACAGTAGCTCGGCCAATATGCAAAGAGTCTTTGCCTGAAGGAACTTAAACAGAATGCAAAAGAGCAAGTTTAAAAAAAGTATTCTCTCACAGGGAAAAAAAACAGAGGCCATGACATTTGGGCCCTAAATGGGAAAACTGTACTTTTTAATTCACATAATTATAATAGGAATACTCTTCTGTGTTACTTCTTATTTCAGAAGTACTTCTATATATGCTAAAGTAACTTGAAGGGAAAAAAGGGTTTAAAAATGCATCAGAGACTTTGAACTGGCATTTGAATTGTGTTGAATTTCCTATTCATAGTGGAAGGTATTAGAAAAAGTTGGCAGGATTTTTTTAGATTTCATACACCATACCTGTGACAGTCTGAGTGACTGTCTGCCATTTTTATTAATCAGCAATCACAACAGTTGTGTGTTACAGTGGGATGCAAGTTTTCTGTTTGTATATATTGCATAATAATAATTCACACAGTATTGGAAGACCACTATCTGGCTATATGAGGGCACTTGGCTTGTCAGAGATAAATCCAAACAAATGGTGGGAAGCTAAGAACATCTTACAGTGGTCCTTGAGAGTGTTTGCAGGTGGTGCTTTTGATTCTGTAACAGCAGGGGCATACCTGACAAGAGGTAAGTTCCGTTTGCTTGTAGTTGCTCATACTCAAAACAGAATCGATCTTGAATGCAGATAAGCCTTCTGAACTGCATCTGATCCTTCAATCTGCCATTTCATTACAGGTACACTCAGTTTCAAAAATATCTCATTGAACTAACCAGATAGTGAATGTTTTTCCCTTACTGCATGTCAGCCCCAACTGTCATCCTTCATGTGCTTCATTATTTATTGTCTTTGGAAGTCTGCAGTGTGGTGAAGTAAGCCTTCAACTATGGTTAAATGATGCTATTGAGACTTGTATTCAGGCAAGATAGTAATGCAGAAAGTCAGGAGCAACATTCCTGGTGCCTGATTAATGTGGCTAAGTCTCCACATTCATGCTTTCCAGAGACCGTGCTGCCAGAAAGACCTGTGCATGTGTCACGTATTGTGAAAGAGAGAGGAACTGTAGAACAGTGGATCACAAGTGAGGAATTATTTGCATAATAGGTACATGAATTAATTAGATTTTTATTTGTGAAGGAATCCAGAATTCAGCATTCTGTATCAACGGGCAAATACTTGTTTTCAGATGGTACTGTTATTGTACCATTATTCATTGTGAGAGTAATTTAAAAACTAAATATAAAGAAACCCAGCATCAGGACTAGTGCAGAAGTGAAAGATTTATATGCCTAGTAATTTATTTTTCTTCTTTGCATAGAGATAAATTTATATGTAAATATATATATGTAGAAGCAAAAAAAAAATAAAAATTCATGTTTCATGCCTACTCTTATGATCCATAGGACTGGTCAGTGACACAGCTAAGAGTACAAACTCCTGTACACTTTTGTCTTACTTTTGCCTTTGATCATTCTTGATGTGACTGCCAGTACAATATAGGCCATTATGTCCTTTTCAAAAGCTGGATGATAGGTATAAGTTGGGTCAGAACCCCTAAAGCATAGCAGAGGGTGTCTGTTTAAGTTGTTTTCATTCCCTGCCTTCTTTCTTTCTGTAAGAGTAAGAATTTTCGGTGTTAAGCATCTGAGAAGAAAATTTAGATTGTGTGTATTTAATGATTCTGTGTATTGATCTAATGCCAGGAATTAGCTTTGACTTGCTCGTTATAGTACTTCTGCTATAGCATTCCTTATTGAACAGCAGGAATCAAATGTAAGGGGGAAATTCTTGCTGCTTGTCCTAACAATTCAGAAAAAAGAAATGGAAGAAATATATATCTCCTAGCTTTAATAAATATTTTTATTAGTTTGAACTGTCCTGTTCATTGTCGATGGATAATGCTATGGTAACCAAAATTACCACAAATCCCCAGAAAAGAAAAAGAACAATGAAAGTAAGTTTTTTTGAGTCCAGCCGGAATGGAATTAAGTTTCCACGTTGCAGTCACCGCAGTAGCATGCCGCCAGTGTTTGACTAGTGCTGAGCAGTGCTCATGCAGCATCAGGGCTGTCCATCCAAAATGCCCACAAAGGCCAGTAGCCTGGGGGTGGACAAGAGACTGTGAGGGGACATGGCCAGAACAGCTGACCCAAGCTGACCAGAGGGATGTTCCATACCATATGACACAGTAAAAGCCGGGGGTGGTGGGTGGGGAATGGCATTTGTGATTAAGGCGTTTGTCTTCTGTAGGAACTGCTACACCTGCTGAGGCTCTGCTTCTGAGGAAGTGGCTGGACTTGACCTGCTGATGGGAAATAAGAAGAAAATATTTTTATTGTCCTTTGCTTCCATCCCTGGCCTTTTTGACCCAAGAGTTCATTTTCATCTTATTTTTTCCCCTCTGTCCTGCTGAGAAGGGGGACAGAGTGGCTGGTGGGCACCTTGGCTGGAGACCAACCAAGGTCAGCCCACCCCATAAGTCCTCCAATCCTGTTTCTGTTTATATACTTTAATGGTCAAATAATTAATAAGCAAAGAGTTGCAAATAACTACTAGAACACTGAGAAGAACAAAGAGAGTAACTGCCCACTTTCAAACTAGTAAATGGAAAATTGTTGGTAGGATAACAAATATTTATAGTCTAGTTAAATACAAATTCTTTAATGAAGAACGTTATAAACAAATGAAACCTTTTTTAGTGTTAGTTTGACTTAGCTGTTCTTAAGCTTCTGTTCTCAATTCCTTTCAGCTTTACATTTTATGTTTTATCTTCCTATAAGCACATATTGTTTTTAGATTGGAAAACTCAGTTTTCTGTTTTGGTAAAAGAATGTATTTATTTGAATGAAAGGTAATTCTGAAGTAATGATGTGACATTGGACAGAATAGTTGAATAACTTTCTCCTGACTGCTGACAGCTCTTTTGGTTTTGCTTATCAGAGGCAAATAACTGATTTTCTTCCAGGTCCTTTATTACCACTTGTTACATTCTTATGGAGAAGGGAGGCTTCTGACTAGTGAATTGGAATGTTATTTAATTATGATGAAATAAAAGCAAGTAATACTATGACACTGTTGATGGCTGATTCTGCTGTTCTGAGGTAGAAGAAGTTGATGTCAATTTAAAGAATACTTCTCCCTCCCTTTGCTGGCACTTCACTCCCAAGGTACTTTGATCTTCGTCTGTCCCTAGGAGACATTACGCTGCTGCTGCCATGAGAAATGGTGGTGGATGTAGCAGAACAACTTACTCCTTCAACTCCTCGATGTTTTATTTATAGAGGATCAGTAGATAAGGATCAGAAAAAGCAAAATGAATAAAGGTTTTAGGCAACAGTAATAAAAGTTTTCACAAAACTATTTTAACAGCAGTTTGGTAGCAAGACAATGTGAGAGTGCCGATGGCTGCACATTGATGCTTGTGAAAGTAACATCTACCCAGAGTGAGTTAATCAGAGCCTCTTGTTCACATGTTCACAAATATTGTGTTTTTGAGGTAAGGCTCTTAAATCAAAAGGCAGACTAAAAGCCCCTTGGGTTTTCATTAATGAGTCCCATAGTTTAGGGATTGATGTTTGGATTTTCATGATCTGAATCATGAGACATTCAGATTGTAAGACATGCATTGTATTGTAAGAACTCTTTCTTTTACTGGGTTTAGGGCTTTCATAATCCTCACCTGACATCTAGTGCCTTGCCTCCTGCTAGATTCAGCTATTAGCCTTCCTCTGTTCATCTTACGATAAATAAAGTAACTGAAACTTTCATTCAGTGTTTTGGTGTTGGCTTTCTGTTGCTTCCATTTCCTTGATGGGAAACCAAAAATTGACATCCCACAAATGAAGCTGAGTTTGCATTAGTTCTTGTCTAGACAAAAAGTTTGTTCCCAGCTGTGTTAAATAAAGCACAGAAATAAATTGCTCTGTTTGACGAGTAGATAGTTTGTTTCAGCTGTTATTACTTCACTCTTCCTCCAGTTTTTGAAATCCTGCTTCCACGTAGCTCTCTTTAATGCTCTGAGATCTGAAGAGCCCCTGCTCCCCACTCAGGCGTGGTAGTCACCTTCCTCTCTGTGTCACAAAGATGTAGGCAGATGCCTGATCAATACAGCCTGAATAGCACAAGTTGGAAGATTCGTGGCAGCGTAGGTGTCATTGTTCTGATTACTGTGAAATGAAGTGACAGCGGAGTGGAGATGTTTGCATTTCACAGTGTCTGGTCTGATGCACCCAGTGCTTTTAATTTTAGCATCTGTTTGTGGAAATCAAACTCTCCCCTCATTTTCTGGTATAGAGACATTAGCTCCCCAAACTGTTACATCATTAATGCTAAGGCTGTTTTATTGCCTATTCTTTATTTGTCTGAGAAGTTTTGTTACTGTTTTTGATACTGTTGGCCTAGTTAAAATTTAAATGCTGTCATCAAAACAATACAATTTGTAGCATCAAGATTGGGTATTTTTCTTGTAGATTGTTTTTTCCTGTTAAGTGGTAAGGTTCTTTTCTGTATCTGTAGTCAAAAGAATTTGATAGAAAATGAAAACTTTAAGGATTCCTAGAAGCCTTCCTTGATTTGCTTCAAAAGTAAATTTTCTTTTTTTACAGGAAAGTCGAGTGTTAAGGACAGTGCCTTTGCTAGCAGCTTGTCTCCCTCCAGACAAATGTAAAATTTTGGTTGGTCGACGTTTTAGTGAAGACAGGTGAGCAGGATTGTCTGTGCATTTTCTGGTTCTCTGTAAACTATAGAAATATTTTTTTCAATATCTTTATTAACAACCAACTGTGTTCCTAATTTTTATTTCAAGTGTGCATATTCACTTTTGATACAAGCTTCTGATTTCCCAAGGTAGTTAGAAACACTTGATATTCTTCCTCTAGGTTGTGGTATTTATGATCTCAGTTTTATGCTCTTGAAGGTTCGAGTGGCTACTCTCAAACTCTTGGCTGTTTGCAGTTCTGTTCTTACCTGGTACGAGATTTGTCTTGCTATTCTGTTTGGTTCTTTCTTTGATTTGCTTTGTCTGACTAACCATTTGGTGTCACTGAAGTAAAACTAATAGTTTTTACTCAAGTATGGGAATTTGACAACCCTGTGGTAAAAAACTCTTAGTGAATGTAGTTTTTTCAAATTCTTTCCTCTTTCTCTAAAATTAATTATAAGAAAGTATAGCTCTTGGAGTTTTTTTAATTATTTTTTCTTCTAATATTCTGAGACCTTGGAAAATATTGCTCTCCCATGTAACATCTTTAATCTTCATTAGATGAAGCTAAGTCTTAGAAACCAATTCTTGGTACAAATGCCAGTGAAATTTTACTACATACATTTTCAGTAAAGCAAATAGAAATCATGAAGGAAATGGAAGTAAATTGATTCTAAAATTGAGTTTAATCCTTGGAGAAAACTTTCTGTAGAGTTCAGTGAACAAAAATGTTGTGAAAGATAATTCAGAACAGTGCTTCCACATGTTTGTGCTACCCGTATACTAATTAGAAAACATTAGAAATACATTGCTTTTTTTTTTAATCTTCTATGATAATAACTCTAATAATTATCTGAAAAGTTCCAGACTACAGGGAAGTTATACTGTCTTCCTGTTAAAACCTTAAAATGAAGCAACTTTTCAAACTGATATGCACAGGGTGGAATGCTGTCAGTACAGTCTACTTCTAGTAAATCTCCTTTTTTTTTTTTTTTTTTTTTTGAAGAAGAGACAATTACAGTATTTAAGCTTCTTCAAGTTTGAATATAGGGATATTTCTCTAACCTAAAGGATCCTCTTTAGGCCAAAGCTGCTTGTAGGACATCTCAGCCTCAAAATAGTTTAAATCGATTCATAATTACTTAGTTCCTATTAATATTTTTTTCATAAAAACACACTGGAGATGGTGAAAGAAGCGAAAGTTTTCCTTGGGTTAATATGAATTTTGGTGATTTGTCTTACCCAGATGGAGTGCTAAAACTACTTAGGTGACAGTCATGGCTCCACTTTAAGCATCTGCACTATGCCTACTTTGCTCTGTCGATGTGAGACTGGAAAAATTGAGAGTGCTCAGTCACTGAGTTTGTGCTCACCTTCTTGGGAAAAGGAAAGATGAGAAGAGGTGAAAAATTATTTTCCAGCTTTGCAATGTGTTATTTCTACATACTTTTTTTTCTTAGCCATAAATACATTCTGTCAATGTGTTAATCAATATTCCTTCTTTGTAACCCCAAACCAACAGGCATCTGCAGATGGGTAGAAACATCTCAATGTTTTAATGTAAATGGGAAGGGCTGTACTGGTCCCTGCTCTTCTCTTAGGGTGAAAATCTCTGCTAATGGGATTGTTAAAGCCTTATAAATTGCAGTGGTCCAGCTGATGTTTTATGACATATTAAACTAAACAGGACTTGTTTGTTTTCTAGATTTCTTAAAAGTCATGCTGTGTGTAAGCAATTTGGTAGCTGCTGTACAAGCAGCTTGATCAACCTTGCCCCCTGTTCTTAGTTACTTTGAAGAAATAAATTATTAAAGAATGCTTGTTGATACATTTTAGAATTATCATTGTTTTGAAGCACATTAAGGCCATACTTTTGCTGTTTTTTTTTTCTTGACAGTGTGTGATAGTGTTTATACCATTTGCCACTTCCACCTTAAGTGCGTGGTTTGGAAGGGAATAAATCAGTATAACTCAGAATCTCTGCTTGCACTGATCTTGCATGTGAGCAGTGCCTGCAGGTGGAGGGGTAACGTGGCGCACACATTGTTTCTCCATGTACATGTAGAAGCCCTACCATGCAGCAGACCTGTGAAAGTGATGACCTTGATGGTTGCCCATATTTTTGTAAATTATCAGAATAGAATGGTAGTGCACATACTTGTATTATCATGGGATCCAGCAGCTCTTGGCAACAGATCTGTAAACTTAGAACACTTCAAGGCAGCCTTTGTGAACAGAATTAATTGTCATTATGGATTTGAGTGGAAACTAAGCTGTACACAGCAGCTGATTGTTTTTGGTCTCCATCGCAGCAGCTCCAGCAGTGGTGTGCTAACTGGCAGACTGACTGTTGTGAATCTGTAGCTGTCAGAGGAGGTTGCTTTCAGGGGAAAATGTACGTACCATCTCAGCTGGGCAGCTCTTTAGTCTTCAGTGCCCCTCTTTTGAAGGAGAAGGCAAGTTTTTCAAGTTTGTCTTGGTTATTTTTCCTGTGCTTTGTCATCAGCATCCAAAATGTATGGGGAGCGCAGAGGGATTTTATGAGGAGCTCTATACAGAATTGCATCCTCTAGAATAAATGTCATGATTTGAATGAAAGCTTAACATTTAGACCTCTGATGTTTATGACAGTAAGACTGAAAATCAAAATTTTGTTTTTTATTAAACTTATGTTTGGGTGAAAGAGTAAACATAAAGCACTTTTTTTTCCCCCTTGTTTTTTTATCACTTCCTCTACTCAATTCCTCCTTGAGTACACCTTTTCTTTTGGTTGAAGCCGATAAACAAATTATGTAGATTAAATTTAACTTATTCTTGATTGACTTATATTGCAGAAAAACTAAAGAACCAACTTTTAGAAGTCTTTCCAGAAGTTGATATCTTCAACATATAATTGATAAAGAAATGGTAAAGATGAGAAGTGATTAATTTTTTAAGAGCTAATATGTCATCCTTCCCAGTCTTGTCCATTCTTCCTGTAAGCTGACATTTTAATTCTACTGAACACATGCAATGTTTGCATAGTGACTTGGCTTATCAGATGGCTTTTCTGAAATAAAAGACCAGTTCTGTTGGTTAATTGGATTTTTTTTTCCCAAGTACTCAAAAGAGTGACTTTTTTTTGGTATTGATTACATTAGTATCAGATACTTGGATGAGTCTTTGTGCCAAAATGATTAAGCTAAAACCAAACAGTTTGGCATAAGTACTTCATTGTGGTTCACCCCAGCCAACACCAAGCCCCAGGCAGCCACTCCCTTACTCCCCCACCAGCAGGATCGGGAGAGAATCAGAGGGCTGAAAGCCAGAAAACTCTTGGATTGAGATACTGACAGTCTAATGGGGAAAGAAAAGGCTGTGCACACAAGCAAAGAAAAACAAAGATCTAATTCACTGCTTCCTATGGGCAGGCAGGTGTTCTGCCTCTCCAGGAGAGCAGGGCCCCCTTATGTGTAACAGTTACTTGGGAAGGCAAACGCCATCACTCCAGATCTCTCCTTCCTCCTTCTTCCCTCCAGCTCTATAGACTAAGCATGATGTCATACGGTCTGGAATATCCATTGGATCATTTTGGATCACCTGTCCCAGCTGTGTCTCCTTTCAACCTCCCACCTTCCTTGCCAGCGTGGCAGTATGAAAATTATAAAGGCCCTTGCTCTGTGTAAGCTCTGCTCAGCAATAGCAAAAACCTTTATGTTATCAACCCTGTGTTCAGCACAAATCCAACATACAGCCCCATACCACCCACTGGGAGGAAAGTTAACACTACCACAGACAAAACCAGGACATACTAACACAATATAAGTGGTGGTATTGTAAAAATAGCCTTTTTGTGAGTTCTTAATATTTGCTGTTTTCTTTCCTTCACTTAAAATGGAATGTAATTGTTAGTATACATGAGCAGGGGCAGTTAATAAAAGGTTTTGGGGTGGCTGGGGTATTTGTTGTCTTAATTTGCCTGGGTAATTATTCTTTCCTGGATACAGAGTTAAGATGTAATTTATATTGCTGGATAGACACTTGCAGTATAGTTTTCTAAAACTGCAGAAGCATTTACATTTGAAGGATGTCTATTAAGATTCTTGCTATAAATAGAAATTTCGAAAAAGTGGAATGAACCAGGGCAGGGGAAAGAAGTGTGCTAATACCTTTTCCTAGCATTGTTCTTAGGATTGTATCTCATAATTGCAGCATATTTCGGCAGTAGTTTTGCTATTCATTGTGGAAATGTTAGGGCAAAAAACAACTTTAGTCTCATATTCATGAATAAAATATAATGTTCTTTTTAGGCTACTAATAAAATTTTGTAGGCAACTGATTTTGAATAATAATACTGTTCCACTCAACAGGAATTTTGGGCATATATTGAACAGCGATAGCAACTATTTCTGAAGTCTAACATGTAAAAAATTTGAATTATTTTAATTTGATATCATAATTTTATAAACAACCTTGGCACTATTGCTTTTGAGTTTCACTTTTTACTTTGTGACTGTTTGGGAAGAGTTGTTTTGCCTTATTTTATTTTGTTTATTTTATTTTTCTGAAAAGGTAATCTTATTCTCAGACCTTTCCTCCTTGCAAATATTCACACTTTGGTAATTCCGGATGCTGTGATTAAATTATGCATTCTAATGGGTGATCACTTAAAGGAAAACAGATGCAAATATCTCTGCATCCACCACTCCATTATTTAGGACAGTGAGAGGGCGGTTACAAATTTATCTGCATTGTTCTCTGGAGTCAAGTGTCAGATTCTGCACCTGGGATGGGACAGCCCTGGCTGTGTGTATAGACCAGGGAAGGAGAGGCCGGAGAGCGTTGCTGTGGAAAGGAACCTGGGGGTCCTGGTTGATGGCAAGTTGAATATGAGTCAGCAGTGCCCTGGGAGCCAGGAGGGCCAACTGTGTCCTGGAGGGCATCAGGCAAAGCATCGCCAACCTGTTGATGGAGGGGATTGTTCCGCTATGCTCTGCAGTGGGGCAGCCTCACCTTGAATA